CATTTATCTGATTTATTAATTAAAATTTCTCGACAAATATTTAATATAATTTTATATCTTCAATCAATATCAATCGATAAAGTGAATGAATTTGATAAATTTGCAGATATTTTCGATAAATTTCTGGTTATATTACCAAATAAACAACCATTAATTGATTCACGTCTTAGTAGTTTATATAATAAACATCGAGTTATATAAAGTGATTTGAGATTAGGAAAACGATAAATTAATTTATTATTATGAGAAAAAATATCTTGATAAATTAAATGAAAATAAATTGAATTTATTCCATCAATATGAATATATTTAATAGAAGAACAAAGAGATAATGAATTAAATATTAATGGTAATAATATTTTAGAAAATTTTTTATAAGATAAACCTGGTTTATTAAAAATAATTCCATTTTTATTTATTTCAAATATTGAACAAATAATAGAATTAATACGTTTATTTAATGACCAAAATGATATTAACACTTCATCCCATGAAAAATATAAAAATATATTTAAAAAAATTTCACTTGGTAATATTTCTAATTTATTTGTCATTTTATCTAAAAATAAAACTAATCTTTTTATTTTATTCAATTAGAAATCATTATTTATTTCAATGAAAAAGGAAAATAAAGTAAATAATTCTTATCATATTTATCTATTTTTTTCTTTTTTCTTACATTTTACTCTATTCTCTTATATCCATCATCTCAATCAAAGATCTAAACATAATCAATAAAATTTTGTCAAAATTTCTAGACTTTTCTATTGTAAACAAGATTTGACTATAGATGCATTAGTTAATACAACATTTATTGTTTATTCGTATTTAATAACTAGTATCAATAATTCTACTAAGAAAGAAAATTTTCCAAGTGTGAGTTTCCATATTCAGCCAATTATTATAGTTTATACAGTTCGATAAATTAAACACAATAACATAAAAGCGTTCTTTTTCATAGACTACTTTTGAAGAGTTTAGTTGATGTTAATTTGCAAAGAAATTATTTATAAAACTATTATTTCAGAAATCTCAATTTTTATTTTATATTAGTTCTTTATATTTGAAGCTTTATTGTTGGGCGTTCATTAATTGGACTGTACATAGGAACCTAATCAACTTGAATAGAAGTGCTAACTATGTTCCATACTATGAATATTTCAATATCATTGATCTTGTCAATATAAGAAATTCAATCGCTTTTTTCTTCTGTCAAAATTCATTTAGTTCTTTGTAAAATACAATTATATGTTCAACAATGTTGGATATACATAAAAAATATTCTATTGATCGCATTTCAGATGTATGTCTCATATATTGCTTTTCTTAAACTAAACATACAAGCAAAACAAAAACTAAACAAAACACAGACTCTTGAAAATAAAATACCCAATAAGATTTTAATTATTTCTACTTTGAAATAGTTTTCCAAAAAATTTTAACCAGTTTTAAAAAAAGAAAAACAATTGAATTTCTTACATCTATAATATCAATGATATTGAAATATTCATAGTAATTATAAACATAGTTAGAACTTCTATTCAACTTTATTATATTGATATATACAGTAGATTAAGGAGTATCCAACACTAAACCTTAAAATATAAAGAACTAAAACAAGATAAAAATAAAAAGATCCCAAATAATAGCTTAGAATGATTTCTTTGAAAAATGAGATCGATCAAGAAAACTTTATATCATCAATGATCAGTTCATCTAACTTTACAAACTATTATATATCTAGCTGACAAATGGAGACTTACACTTCTAAACCTTTTCTTGTTTTTTTTTAAAAAGAGAAAGTGATTATGTTCAACTCTTCATAAATACATGAAGAAAATTTTTCTAATAGTTACCATTGTGTAGATATCACAGTATCAAAATGAGTTAATTTAATTTCATCATTGCTATGTTGTTTTATTAAAATAGAGCTATTTATTTCTCAATATATTCAGAGAAAAAATATTTCTCTTATTTGTGAATTTCTTTTCAATGTAGTCTATAATTACGACATCTTCGATCGAATAAGAGGAAAAAACATACCATCCAATTACATTAAATCTAAGATAAGTTAGTTTCGTTTGGAAATTTGAAAGTAATTCATGGATATGTGCAATATTTTATCAGCTAACCGAATCAAATAAATAAGAATTTATTAAGTTTTAAATTTATCCTCTTCTATTTACTATTTGAACACGTCGTTATGAACTGTTTTTGAACATCTTTTTCATTTAAATATTTGATGAAACTTCTCTTCATCATAAAATGGCAACAAACAATTATAACGAAGAGGTAAAATTTTCTCCAACGTTGAACGAAACTGAATTTTTTGATTATTCAGATCGTTAAACTGATCCTACTCAAGAAAGAGCACGAAGATACAATTAAAACTCTGTTAGCTCTCATATGTATAGAACGAAAGAGACAAGCAGTGTCACTGATGTTATGTGACAGAACGATGAAAAAGATGACCTTCATAGGAATCGAACCCATACCTTCTGCTATCCGGGCAGATGTCCTAAGCCAATTAAACTAGAAGGCGCATCTTAATCATCGTTTAGCGTCCAAGTGATTCATCATGGACGCTAACAAACTCTACAAGAACAAGATATTAAATATAAAGGCAAAATTGATCATCGTATGAATGAACTGGAAATCATTTGGCGACAAAAAGAATATGAAAGCATAACAGCGAAAATTCAATATTTACGTTATAAACAAGCAAAATTGGATGAGTTGGGTACGTGTTTGTTTTCTACGACTCAAACTTTTGGTTCGAAAACTAAAGAATTTGGTGTTTATTTTAGCTGCTGATCATGATCAACGACGATAAGATTTATTCGAATTTTCAAATCTTGATGATAGATTTTCATCGTTTAATATAAATAAAAGAGAAGAAGAAAAAATTCGAATTATTTAGTAGATAAAATCAATTGAATTTAGTCAATTATCAATCTCACATATGGACTGATATATACATATAACACTTCGTTTGAGTGCATACATTCAGCTTTCTTTCTCTTTTATTGACGATATTTTTCATTCACCTTCACAGATTCATACAATAAACATGTACTCGTCCGCCAGATTGATTTAAGAAACAATGCTCGACACGTTTGCTTTTCAGTGCGTCATCTTTATATAGGTTCATCATATACATAGTCACATAAAAGTTATCGGACAAAAAGAGATAAATTCCCCATTCATTGAGTACTTCTAACACAGCTCACTTTGACAATTCTTTCAATGGTTTATCATTGGAGTTGGGATTTTCTTGCCGAATGTGCTGCTGATAAGTCACAGAAAAAAAAACTAAATGTTATTCAGTATTCTGTAAGTTTGTGACAATTTGTTGATATAGTTCTAAATGCTTTCATTTTCATATTCTACTCAGAGATTTCATTCTTAGTCAATTCTTAAGTAGATAGTTTGTAATAAATGATGAAATAAAACTGACATTCGGATTTTCCTAACAATGAAGTTCATTAGAAATAATTCGACCTGTTTATTTCATTTTTATTAACGACTCAATTGACTAATTCAATGGAAATGTAGGTAAATATTTTTTATTCAACTATCGTCATATGGAATAATCATTGGAAGAAAAGTAGTCAGATTTGAAAGAAACTGTTTGTGTTGTGTTAATGCACCTCTGAAGATTCGTTCTATATTTAGAATTAATTATCGTCGAAAACAAACTAACTGAAGAACAACTTCTATCCTTACGTCAATGTAAGTATATCTGTTCAACTAAGATCTATTCTCTAAGTAATCAATTAGATTATCAAATCAACAAAACTCCAGGAATCAATGAACTTCGAGTAATCGGCAAGGAATTGAATAATGAAAGTTTTGATTTTTTTCTTGATTTGGAAGTTAGTAGTTTTGTTCGCTTGTTTAATATGTATTAATGTTCTTTCTTCATTTATAGACATGGTTTTGTAGTCATCGTATGGGTGAACAAGCTGTTGCACAACGTCATTATGAGGCAAAAAAAGTTGCTGCTTAGATTGATTTGTTTGTAACACTTCTCAACTGTCATTGATAGAAATAAACAATTCTCGTACTCGGATAAATATTTAAATAAAATAGATCATTGTTTTTAAAATTGGCCGATTTGACGAATTTCTTTGATAGATGTGCTTTTACCGTCTGAACCAATTGATATCACTGAGTTCTATGATCAGATCATATGCCGAATGTTCGATAATTGTATCGAATAGAAATGAAATCGTGTAAAGGCAATGAGAATGTTTTCGAAGTAAAAGAAAGATTTCATATTTGATGTTATCAATTTACTTGTTCGGAAAGTTTTAGAGATGATATGAAGGTTTATCTTTTAAGTTTGAGATAGGACAAGAAATGAAACTAATTTCTAAAAGTAAAATCTGAATTGTGTTGTATTTTGGAAAATACTCTTGATATCTTTTCTGTTTCTTTTTGATTATAAGCAAATAATGTTGTTCTTTTGTTTCTATTTTGAATCGAAATTTATATTAAATGTTTAGGTTTATTTGAACAATTCAGATCTTCGTAATTTATCCTTTCAAATCTTCTATCTGAAGATAGATAGACATCTACGAATAGTTACATCATTAATGTAACTACATTAACACCTACTTTCTCCTATATTCGAATATCGATAATGATCTTTACCTTTACCTGTAATCCAAATATTTTTTCCCGTTATTGACGTTTTTCAAATGAAATATTTGGAAAAAAATTTATCAACCGATTTTCATATTTTGGTTATAAATATTATCTTAATTAGTCAAAAAAAAAACAATTACCACCATTATTGAAAATTTGTCAATAAAAACGTTTTTGTAAAAATCGGATTTTCGATGTACACAATTTAATCTTTAAAAGAATGCATATCTCATTTATTAATTAATAACAATTGTAACTATCGGGAAATTGTAAGAGGGAATGATCAGATTCTTCAAATTTACACAATAAAATACTCATAGTGTTATTGAATCTGTCAGATATCTCAACTTTTTCGAGTGTCTTTTATTAAACATCGAATCGTAAAAATCGTTCGAGACATGATTTTTTCATCGTCATACGTTTTCATTGTGAAGGAAACAATCTGCGAAAGACGATATGCCTTGAAACAATGAACCATTTCAATGATTAATTACTTTGAACACAGATGAACAATTCTTTCGAAGAAAAATTCTTTTGAAAACAAAATTTTCCTCGAAGATCCTTATTGATCACTCTGACTCGATCATAAAAGTTTCTTTATAAATATTCTTTTTTTTTATGAAGATGATTCTTTCGAATATTTTAGGTTTTATTATCAACAATTGGATATAACCAACTTTTGAAGCGAAGATGCCTCGATCTATATGTTAACGGATATCGAATCTTTCTATCTTCAACGTACATTCATTGTTGATATTGTACAGGAACACAAAGAAAATCAATTATTATATTTTGGGAAAAAATAGGTATCGATCGAGGCTTATTTGGGAGAAAAGTTCGTTCTTTTTATATATATTTGAGATAAATGAATTGAACGAAGTCATAAATCATTTTCAATGTTATT